CTCTGTCAATTAACTAGTTAACATAACTGTTATTGTTATTATTATTATTATTGTTGTTGTCTTTGTTGTTGTTGTTGTTGTTGCTGTTTTTGTTTGTCGCCTCATGATTTTCATTGTTAATGTGTTTTCCCCTTTCTTCTTCTTTATACTAAATTGTTGACATTACCACCTTCTTCTTTTAAATTTATTTCTCAATCATTATCATCAGTGAATAGTTTCTATACAAAAAGTAATTTACTTTCATCGATTTTTATTCTTTTTTTTTATTATTTTCTTTTATCTCTTATTGCCAGGAAAAAAAACAACCTAAATACTTTCTCTTTTATCCCAATGTTATGAGCAGGCATGCAATCAAAATACATTTTGATTGGATAAATTATGATAAGAGGAATATATAGATATATATATATATGTTTAAGCATAAATCAATACCTTTATCCGTTATCGTTTGTTTTTACCATAGAAAGATAAATTATCCCATTTTTTTTTTTACTGATCATAACCAAATTGATTTAAATCAGAGAAGGGTTTTTTATGGATATTGTAGTTGAAGATGAGACCATCATGAAAACATTGATTGGTCGTTTTGCTTTAGTATAGAATTCATCTGTAGTATGCATCCACGATCTTACCTTGTGAGATTCGAACTAAAGACTTAACGGTTTCGTGCTTGTTCGCTTAACCATTAGATCACTGAGCCAGTTGGCATCCAATGGTGTTAATGTCTAACTTCAACCAATTCATGAAATTGAGCGATATATCCACCATTGTCTTCAATAAGTGTTACTATCTCACAACATATCGGGTTGAACTCCATTGGTCATTGCTTCTTACTAAAACTCCAGGATATACCTCTTGAAGCTAGTTACTAGTGAGCATATGTTGAATAATATCAGAAGAGGTTTTGTAGATATTTTAGTAATTTTATTAGTCGGACCTAAACCGTAGGTACGGTATGTGCTTCTACAAGACTGGTAGGATTTTATCCTGTACTCATCCTGGGTAGTAGTCGAGAAGTTCGTATATCTAGGTAGCTGCATAAGTGCCGGTGGTGACATGAGTGATGAGATCAATGCAGGTATAGCGAAAGTCAAAGCGGCTTATGCCAATCTGGGCCATCTTTGGCGCCTTCGTGATGTTAGTCTGGCTGTAAAAGGTCGGATCTACAACACGTTGGTGAGAGCAGTTTTGCTCTATGCTTGTGAAACCTGGTCTCTCCGAGTTCAGTATGTTAGGTGACTCTCCGTGTTTGATCATTGTTGTCTCCGAAGGATTGCTGGCATCCAGTGGCAACACCATGTTAGTAATGCAGAGATTCAGTATCGTGTGTTCAGGCGCACAGATGATAACTCACTTGGTTTCACTATCTTGAAACATTTATTTGTTCAAATAAATAAATAAAGACCACCATGGAAAACCTGGAAACACTAGATGGCCGTTTACGTCACAGTATAGGACTCCGCAGCAGTGCACATCTACGATCGTGCCTCTAATGATTCGAAGCTAGGATATGTCAGTCTCGCGCACGAGCGCTTAATCACTAAACCACTGATCTGGCATCCAACGGTGTTAATGTCTAACTTCAATCAGTCCACGAAATTGCGCCACCATCCACCATTGTCATCAATGAGATACTATCTCACAACAAACGGCCGTTCAGTGCTTCCAGGTTTTCCATGGTGATTTTGCTTCAATTCACACATGAATTCAACTATTAAATAAAGGAAATTCGGTTCAAAACATAATATGTTACTAGTCGGTTTTTATAATAATTACTTCAATATTTAGTCAGCTGATTTTTCGAAAAATGTTTCACTATGTTATACTCTAGCTATTCAAAGGATCATCATTACTACTTTCAGTTTTCATTGAAATCCCGTTATGTAAGACTACACTTATTCTCCTTAGAACTGAATTCTGTAGACTATCTGATTTATGGATCTCATTAAGTTCACTTATTAGTTTGTATGTGGTCTATACAACTTCTGGAAATGTATGTATGTATGTTGGAAATCTTTATTCTACAAACTGTTCGTTAATTTATACGATAAAGTAACTATTAACTTGTTTACCAGTTACAGATTAACGGATTCGACTTCAAGTTGTATTTCAATTTTGAAAGCTAATGATAATATCCAGGTTGTTTTAGCAGAAGTAGATGAAACAGGGTTCGGAGATGCGCTTAATAAGTAAAAGTCAAACTTCTTAGTCACTGAATTACCACCTGATGCTTAATTAAAAACAATCGGTTTTTTATTGTAATTGGAAGTTAAACAGATAATCTAAAAGTGAAGTTTTTATAAGCAACGATGGATAGTGGCTAGCAGTGGAATGCAGTTTGACGCGCGTTTCGTCCTATTTGGGACTCTTCAGCTGGACGTACCTGCATCTCAGAGTTGATGTTCACTCTGGGACTCGAACCCAGTACCATTCGCTCCAAACACCATCGCGTTATCCACTCGTCCACTTGCCTATGCAATGGGGTGAATTTAAATTCACTTGGTATTGTTTGTTGTGAATTAAGGCAATATCAAGGCAATACACACAGTATGCACATATGCCAATAACAGACTGGTCAATTTCAGTCTTAAATAACAATGGGAAGATACAAGCAAAACAATACCAAGTGAATTTAAAAGTGGAGTTGTTTTGAAGTTCGGTCTTCATTGTACGTCATGATTGTTTAATCATTTCTTGACTTCGGCTATCGTTATACTTTTATGAAAGTTAAGATTTTGACAAAATCTCGTCTCTCTTCTCCCGCACAAAAGAATGTCATACTTGATTCATGCTTAAACAAAATCACATCGCTTTTTTTTGATACACCTAGTAGTTTTATTCATTAGCCGTTAATTCTTCTAATGCGGCAGTCAGTCAGCTGCAACGTAGGACCAGGCACGTATATGCATCGGTCCAAGTTGCCATACCGCATTAGCACAACAAGATGAACACCGGATTCATAGGAGTAGTTAATTCAGTGGTGGTAATATATAGAAGAAAGATTGTGTATAAGGAGATAGTAAAGGAAGAAAGAATTAGTTCCTAGACAGATATGAAGCGATTTTAATCTCTTAATTTAAGGAAGACAGAGAGTGTATACACCGACGCCATTGTGATCGATTCTGAGCCATGTCACCCACAGTCTCCAACCATTGGTTACGGTAGTCACGCAGACCCCAACCAGGCAGTCTGCATCTACCAACATGGCTCAGACCAGAAGTTAGTGACTTCAAGCACTGATGCCATGTTTTGGTTTGGCCGCCCCTAACTTTCTTCCAATTATCCCTAACACCAGTGAGCATTGCGCGTCGTGGTAATCGGTGTTCAGGCATACGTAGCACGTGGCCCAACCATCTCAGTCGATGAAGGTTCATAACCTCATCAACTGATTTGCCATCATTCCCTAATACCCTGCGTCTAACCTCACTATTACTTACCCGGTGATCCCAGCAGATACTCGCAATATTTCTAAGGCACCTGTGGTCAAATACTAGTAACTTACGAATATCTTCTACTCTTAAAGGCCATGTTTCGCAGCCGTATAGTAGAACGAAACGAACTGCCGCACAGTATACTCGTCCTTTAATCGATAGACGAATATCTCGCCTTCTCCATAGATGACGTAAGTCACCCACAACCACTCATATGGTCAATACTTATGATAATTCATTTTTGTTTATTGAGATTGTTTTTCTGTGTAACCTTTATTGTTAATGTGAAGGAGTTAGATAGGTTAACATTTCATACTGGTATAGAACATCTTCACACCCTGTAACCACACCACACTAGGGATCAGACTCAGGATCACGTCTCACAGTGAGCTTAGGCTTTTAATCCTTTGAATTGTAATCCAATGAATTACGTTTCAAGCTACAATCAATTCACGGTATTGCTCAACTTAGCTATCTTATGCCATCGAACATTGTTAAAACCCTTCTGGTCACGAATTCTCACTAGAAGTCAGTAGATTACCTCATTAGTAGGCATATGTTTAATATTAACATAAGAGGGTTGGGAAGATTGTTGTTTAAGTCATGGTTTCGTATTAGTGGCTTGGTTGGTTTTGTGCTATTTTATCAAAACAGGACAATTGTAAGTGATCTTGGTGTGTGTGTGTGTGTGTGTGTGAGGGAGAGTGAAGGGATGTTTTTATTTACAAAGAATTACATTTATTAAATGATATTTACATGAAGTTGGGTTTCGTCGCATAGCAATAACAATTAATTAGTCATCAAAAACCAAGGTACACTTAGTTGATGAGGTTGTAAATCTTCATCAAATGAGATGGTTAGGCCACGTGTTACGTTTGCCTGAACACCGATTACCACGACGCGCAATACTGACTAGTGTTGGGGATGAGTAGAAGAAAGTTATGGGTGGCCAAACCAAAAACGCGGCATCAGTTCTTCTAGTGACTAACTTGAGGTGTGTGCAATGTTTCGTAGATGCAAACTACTTGGTTGGGGTCCGCGTCACTATCATAACCAGTGGTGGGAGACTGTGTGTGACATGGCTGAGAATAGATCAGAATGGTGTAGGTCTATACACTCTTTGTCTTCCCTTAATCTATGAGATTAAAATTATTTCATATCTTTATTTCTATGAACTAATTATTTCTTCATGTGCTACATCCTTATACAAAATCTTTCATATATTACTACCATTGAAGTAACTGCTCCTATGAATTGGGTGTTCATCATGTTGTGGTAATGAGGTGTGACAACGTGGACCGATGTATATATATGCCTGGTCTTACTTTCGAAATGACTGATTAACTGAAGGTACACTTTAAAACAATTGTTTTACCTTAAAGTGGGACTCATCAGCTGTTTACACATCATCATTCTTTGATGAAGACCAGCTTGTTCTTAAACTAACCTGTTCGAATTCTTCAACTAAAACGTTAATGAGATTAGCTATTCATTAATTATATCATTCAATCATATACAGTTTTCGAAATTTTCATTAATATTCTCTTTTGTTTTTTTATTGAATACTAGGGAATTAATGTCTTTATTAAGACAATTGAAATTTGCTCAAAAATTCGCTTGGTTATCAGGGTAAGTTTAATCAGCATTCTTTTTGTTGTTGCTATACTGTTTATTTTTGCAAACAACAACAACAACGTGGCATCAGTGCTTGAAGTCATTAACTTCTAGTCTGAGCTATGTTGGTAGATGAAGACTACCTGGTTAGGGTCCACGTGACTATCGTAACCAATGATTGGAGACATTCGATCACATTGACGTGGGTGTATGCACTCTCTATCTTCCCTCAAACCATGAGATTAAAATTGCTCTGTACCTTTCTTTCTATGAACTAACTCTTTCTTCCTGTAATATGTCCTTATATGCAATCTTTCTTTTATATATCACTTCAATTGAATTAACTACTTCTATGAATTTGATATTCATCTTGTTGGGCTAAGGAGTGAACTATGGGAACTTGGACCGATGCATATATACGCATGGTCCTACGTTGTAGCTGACTGACTGACTAACTGTTTGTTTTTGTTGTTGTTTTGTTTTACCTGTAATCATTGATAGTGACACTGATTAACTTCTTGGTATTCCTTTTTGTAAGCATCTTTTTTATCATTGAGAGAAGTATCATTGTTATGTTTCATGACAAACTCATCAAGCAAAATACAGATTTACATAACCTCGTCACTGTTCTAGACCAAATGCCCTGGTACGGCCGAGAGTGGGGAGAGTCCGCTCTCCCTCTCGAAATGCTCTCACATGGCCACGTGTATATAACCCCTGCCAGGGAAGTCCTACTCACTGCCTTCACGTGGCGGGGGTGTTGTTTACGAAAATGAGAGGACGAAAAGTGAATATCCGGCGCTATAACCGGATCCCAAATCAATGGTGCACATGGGCTCCAGTATCCTGAAGGATCGAACGGCGTATGAACCAATCGTTGGTCACCGGCTACCATGGGACTGCATCTCCTTACGATGCTCCACTGCCTTGTGGATCAGATCTTCAGGTCAAAGGCTCGGAGTGTGGTCCCCTAAGAAAACCACCTGCTTCGGTTCGGGCACCCGAGCAGTATCACAGCCCCCAGACAAATCAATTGAGATTCGTGTGGTGCATATGTATTTGGTGCCTCCTTGTACCAATACCTATGTGTTAAAATAAATAAAATAAAGAAATAAAGAAACTTCGAGTCAACTCTTATTCTTTATTGATCCTCTGTATAGTAATTTCTCACCTAACCCTGTTCGTTCAATCAAGATTACAGGTACAACTTGCTGACGAGTGCCAAGTAGCACGAAACCCGGGTTCAGGTTTTCCTGTCGACTAACTCCAGTCACCATCTAAAGAGATTTCTTCGCTGAATTTTTAATGTTTAAATGGGAATTATCTGTCAATTGAAAGAAATTCATGGATGTTATGACAATGAAAGAACTTAATAGGTTCTTATGTTATACTATAAGATCAATAATTTTAATCAATAATCACTAGCATTTCATCAGACAACCTGGAAACATTTCACAGTTAATGTATATTCTATACTTACTTATTTACGCCTGTTACTCCTAATAGAGCATAGGCCGCCGACCAGCATTCTCCATCTCACTCTGTCCTGGGCCTTCTTTTCTAGTTCCATCCAATTCTTGTTCATTTCTCTCATGTCTTTCTCCATCCTTGATCTTCCTCTCCTCGTTCGACCTTGAGGATTCCATGTGAAGGCTTGTCTTGTAACGCAGTTCGGTGCTTTCCTCAATGTGTGTCCTATCCACTTCCAGTGCTTCTTCCTGATTTCGTCCTTCACTGGGATCTGATTTGTTCTCTCCCACAGTAGGTTGTCGCTAATGGTGTCCAGCCATTGGATCTGAAGTATTTTGAGTAGAAAACTGTTCATAAACACCTGTATCTTCTGGATAATAGCTTTCGTGGTTTTCCAGGTCTCGGCCCCATACAGTAAAATTGTCTTAACATTTTTATTGAAAATTCTGACTTTGGTGTTGTTTGACAGACAGTTGTTTTGAGTTCCAGATGTTCTTCAGTTGTAAATATGTTGTTCTTGCTTTGCCGATCCGTATATTCTATAGATCCAATAATATTCATATATATATACTTTTTATTATTGTTGTTATTTTTCTTATTATTTGTTTAGAGCTTCTGTACTTCCAACAGGATTATCTGCATTAACTAATATTCAATCAAATAAATTAACTAATAATGATAATAATTTGAATCATCATTATCAATCTTTAACTAATGGAATAACAAATGAAATCTATACAAAAAATGATACATTGAATATAATGAAAGATACTTCTACTATTAAAACAATTAAACAAGATAAAATCAATAAAATTGATGATCAAAAAGATGTAATGAAGTTAGATACTATTATTGATTCTACTGTTGTTACTACTAATCATGATCATGGTGATGATGATAATAATAATAAAAAATCGATTAATGGAGGAATTACACTTCTAAAACATAATCATTTAAATAATGATTCTATTTTAATGAATGGAGATGATTCTCATTTAAATCAAATGAATGGAAAATTGAATGATATACAAAATGATGGTCATATTGATGATGATGATGATGATGATGTTGTTGTTAATCTAAAGAATGGTAAAAATGATAATTCATTTGTTAAACAAAAACAAAATGGACTTGTATATGATAAAACGGATGTTATTATAAATGGTCAAGTGAGTTGTTATTCTTTTTGATCACTATAAGTAATAATGCAAGCATGTTGCATCGACACCTGAACTAATGATAAGGAGTGAACTAGTTGAGCGTGTCGATTGCTTCATTTATCTTGTGAGTCTCATCAACCCTTGTGGTTTGATGTGTGACGAAATCTCAGCACGAATACAGAAAGCTCGACTAGCTTTTGCAAACTTGCCTCATTTATGGCATGGGCGAGATATCCGTCTAAGAACCAAAGGACGCGTTTGCTGTGCAGCAGTTCGTTCCGTCCTACCTTATGGTAGTGAAACATGGTTGGTAACAGTCGGTTACTAGTATTCGATTGTAGATGTCTTTGAGACATTGCTCGTGTATCCTGGGAACACCAAGTAAGTAATATAGTTGTTAGGAAACATGTACTAGGTAAGGATGGCAAATCGATTTATGTAGTATTGAAACTTCATCAGTTGAGATGACTGGGACTGCCCTGACGTGCGATGTTTTGTTGTGTAGGAATAGATTGGAAGAAAGCTAAGGGCGGTCAGACCAAAATATGGCACAAATCTATAAAGTCACTAACAAGTGGACTGATCCATGTTTGTAGGTGTAGACAATCTGGTTGGACTCCGCAAGGCGATAGCAACTGATGGTTAGAGACGTTGAATGACACATGGTTCAAAATCGTTTGCAATGACGTAGGTGCATCCACTCTTTGTGTTCTCCGAAATTCTAATCTTCTGAATTCTTCATTCCCTTTTCGTTTTTCTCTTTCCCAATTTATTTCACTGGATGATGCTCCTTGAATAACATCTTCAAACCCTAATGTTTTTGATTACTGCTTATACTTTTACTACCTCTACCACTATGGGTTTTGAATGGACAATTGTATCTGTGTGCTAATATGATATGGCAAGTTGAACTGATGTACATATGTACGTACGATGTTCTACGTTGTTACTGACTAACATATCTTTAAATTCAAAATCAGAGTTTTGTAATAGGGACAGAAGTTCTATGACCTATGTTATTCTTTTTCTGGTATACTTCTATGTGTTCTAGTCTTCTTTTGAATGAATCAATCGAAGATGTGGACATCACTGCTTCGGATAACATGTCCCATGAATTGATGATTTGGTGTAAAAACCTATATGTCACAGATATTTTGTTTGTTCTTGACTTTTTTACTCATCTACTATTTCCTCTGAGATATCCCTATCTGGTTTATTCTCGCTGTCAATTAATGAAAATTTGAAGTAGACAGTAGTTTGATTCTAAATGATATACGAGTTGCTATTGATTAAATTCTTCGATTAAAACAGCGTTGTAGACTGAATTTATGTAGGTTCAATATTAATTTAAGCCAAATTGGTAGCATTGCTTGATGAACAGTCTAAGCTAAATCTAAAATTGCAACAATTATGTTAATTTTTTAGAATTCGGTTGAATGTAAAACGGCATAGAGAAATATATTTGTTTTAATTCACTCAGTATTGTTTTCCATGAATCTTCCCATTGATGTTTAGTACTGAAATTGATCAGTCTCATTTGATGAGTTTTAAAGAGGATGAAACTCGTGTCTTGGATTCCACTGCTAACCACTATCCATCTTTGTTTATTGTGTTTTGTTTTATTTTGTAAACTTTAATTATATCTACCTTAATATTAGAATTATTGGGTGTTGTGAAATTGTTAAGGGACTTCTAAGAGAATATCAATCTCAATTGATGTTCGTCATATTTTACCACTATCGTTGTTTTCATACAATTTCGTCATAAATATCCTTTTAGATATCATAATTTATTCTTATATTTTTTTCAAGGATTGATGTTGAAAGCTCATTTATAACCACGAAGTGGAGAAGATTTGTAGCTCATGTAGGTGATTTTGATGGAGTTTTGTTCTTTGAACTGGAAGGTTTGGTCGTGGAGCTTTCATCGTTATTCTGAACGACATAATCAGTAGAAACTTTTACCGAACCATCCAGTTCAGAGAACAAAGCTCTATCAAAAAACACAAAGTGCTCAGGTAACGTAATCCTATTGGTTGAGGAATCTGAGAATACAGTTCCTTGAATGCATTGAGTAACAATAAAAGTTTGCTTGAGATTCGTTTTTCCCTATCTAGATGCAAAATGTTAATTTAGAGCTGGTGTGTATCAACACCTAGACAAATGATAGAGTGAAGCAGTTGAGTATCTTGATCACTTCACTTTTCCTAGAATTCTTATCAGCCTTGATGGCTTGTCTGACGGAATTGACTCAGGAATCGTGGTTGACTCTTGAAATCTAATGTCATTGGTGGCGTTCGCAATGAATTCCAAAGACACTTGGTCCGATTTCAGATCGGTCTGCGTGCTCACTGCTGAGGAGTTCCATGGCAGAACTTGTTAGACTTGATAGTCAAATAATTATTTAATTAGATACTCTGCGTAAAAAGAATAAATCACTTTGAAATAGTTGATTGTTTGCTCATTGAGTGAGTAGCCAATTATGTCGTTTTTATGTAGCTCTTTAGTTCGGATCGAATTCTATCAATCATATCGTATTATCACTATTAATCTGAATGATTTGACCTCTCATATACCATATTAAGATATTATTTATAACGTTGGACTCAAACCAACGTCACTCAGCTTTAGATTTTAGACTAACTTCTTGTAAAATTGAGATATTTCCATTAATTAGTAACATTCAACTCACACTGAAGGACTCCACAATCATGGCCTTGATCACTTCTAACTGATAAATTAATGATAACGGTTCAATCCTATAAGGGATTAGCCGTAATTCGAGTAGTTTGGTGGTAACCTCTTAGATTGTAACTGAGTGATGCAAGTTTGAATACCAAAGGGAGCATCAATTTCATCTAGATTTCAGATATACCTTTCTAACGTATACCTGTTGACTACTTCCAACTATTTGATATTGATAAATTTGTTTAGAATAATTATTCAATTATTGTGTTCATTCAATGTTGTTTATAAGAAAATTCTTGAATTATTTCCTCTATAGATAAATAATGGTTTTGATGATAGTAATGAATTACCATTATTTATGAAAGATAATACACTATTGGATAATGATTCATCAATAAAATCTGAAATGAAATTAAATCTAGAAACTATATCTACTACTTATAAACTGGATAATATTAGTTTATCTACCCCTATTATTACGACTACCGTTTGTAGTATTAACAATAATAATAATAATAATAATAATAGTAATATTGAACCACATTCTCCTGCTGTTTGTACTACACCAACTGTTACAACAGATAATCATTTGAAGTTATTCATGATGAATATGAAAGATTATGTACAAGTATCTAATTCCTTACCATCTACTCCTATGTCATCGTCATTTGTACCAGCTAATTTCAATGTTATTCCTACTATTGATAAGAATACTAATAATAATAATAACAACGACAGAATGAAATTAGAAAGTGATTTTCAAATGGTAAGTTTTCAAATAATTTTATTTTTACTATGATTTGTTATTCAGAGTAAGGTATCAGGTTAAATCTTTCCAGTACAGTTACTTCGATATAGTGAGCTAGATGGTAATATGAATAGTTTGTAAATTATGAATTAGAAGTAGGTACTTACTGATTAAAACATCTCAATATTAACCACTTGGTTACATGTTCAAGATTAGTTTCATCTACTTCAACTTAGTGTTTAGTTTCCATGCATTAGTAAGGCTTACATTAAACGTATGACTGAAATGAATATGAATCAAAGAAGATAAATATTAGAAATAACGTAAATCTTATACAAGTGAACATTAATAATACTCTTATATATCTGTGTTCAAATCAGTTTGATCATATAGAGAATTGATCTGAAATTTGTGATCCAGCAAATAGTTAGGTTAAATGAGAGTATCTTGTTTTCTATAACTGTTTATTGTTAATTATACAAATAAAGATACTCTATCTTATATCATGACTACAAAAGTGGTTTATTTGAGAACTAGGATACTGTCCGGGTAGTCTAGACCGAAGCTGCTGATTTTATTAGGAAAGCTACATTCCTAACCTTTGATGTAAACGTCTAATCCACAAGGCAGCAGAGCAACTTTAGGGGATGCAGTTTTATGGCCGCCGGTGACCATCCTTAGGATCCTGAAGCTCATATACACCATTGGTTTGGAACCAGGGTTTTCCAACTCCTCTAGGTGGATTCTCCACATTCACTAACTAGATTGAAGCTCCGGACATTCACTTTTCGTGCTTACAACTTTATAAAGAACAGCAATTGCGCGAGAAATTAGTGAGTAGGACTTCCCTGACAGCTGTTGTATGCAAGTGGTCACTTGAGAGCATTTCGAGAGGGAGAATTGACTCACCTCACTCTCAGCCGTACCAGCGCATATTCCAAATTCATTAATGATTTATTTACACAGGTTTAGGTATTTTTCTGTTACTTTAGCTGAAAAGATACCAAGAAGATTCTGTTCAACATTCAGTGAATTTATAAGCTGATGCAACTGTTTTTGGTTTAACCTCATCTAATCTTCTTACAACTTACTTTCATACCAACATAATTCACACGTTGAGGTAGACAAGGGGGAGGGAGGCGGTGGTGTTTATGGATACTTAACACGTATCTGAACCACCTTATTTTGATGAAGAATTACTTGTTCAACAATCGATTTTCTACATTTGCATAGAAACCTATTAATTATACATACTTGTTAATTTGTTGACTGACGAAATGAATATTTGACTATCATTTTATGATTAATTTATATTTTTTGTTTATTTTTTTAATAGACTAAACTATCCGCATTAGAGAAACAAGATATTACATATAGTAAAGATAATTATTCCGTTAAGAATTACACATCTCTACCATCGAGTACAAGTACTGCATATCCTTCAGATGTAGTAATAACAACAAAGTGTACAACTACCACGGGGACAATAGATCTAATATGTTCTAAATCAACCATCATGGGAAACACACATACTACTTATCCTATCAGTAGTAGCAGTAGTAGTATCATTACTACTACTTCACCTACTATTGGTTTGTTAACAAAACCAGCACCAATATCTATATCCACTGATATTCATCCAATTGACAGTGATGATATAGAAGTAGATGATATTGTTTATAGTAATATATCAAGTGAAGGGAAATCTCATATTGGTGGATCATTACAATTGATACCTCAAAGAAAAGAAAAGAATATGAATAGGAAAAAATTATTTTATCGGTCTAGTTTATCACCTTGTTCAGATATTCATCCATTCCCATCATCGACATCACTTGTAACAGGTTCTTTACCAAAAACAGATGATCAAGAGATATGCAGTAATGATTATCAGAACATAGCTAGCAGTGTTATTCCACCGTCAACTTTACTAACATCACCAATCACAAATACAGAAACCATTAGAACTACTGCATCAATATCATATCTGCTTTCAAATCAGCCTCTGGCATTGCAACCGCATTTAAAGATGGTTTCCAGTATAGAATTGAGTGGTAACTTAAACGGTAATGATAATAATAATAGTAATAACCGATCCCACAACGGCAACTTCTCAAAGGACTCACCACTTGTTTCTTCAGTGAAACTGCATAGACGTGTACCTGCCCCTACTGTTACTTCATCTGTTCTTACTAATAGTGATACGATCGCTACTACAATATCGAAAATCGCCACTTCACCCGCTTTAACTTCTGTTATAAATCCTGTTAAGGCAAATGAGACGAAAATATCACGTTCATCTATGATTGAATTAATAAGTTGTCCTAATAAGGATGTGTCCTACCCAGGTCAAATACTGTCATCGATTCCTCCACCACTCCCTTCGCTGACATCTTCGACACCACTATCTAAACCACAAGGAAATGTAAGGTTTTAATTTAGATATCGTTTTACCAATGGTTATTATGTATTATTAATCACTTCTCATTATTAAGCTTTACACTACAGATTTTCATCTAACAATAAATCAATACTACAACCTACTTCTTCAATTAAGTGTTTTGTTCCGCTAGGTAGTATGTACAAGTGTATTATATTGAGAAATGAATTTCCGACTATAGTTTTTACATCACAGTTTAACTGTAATTAATATCAGAAGGGGTTTTTATGGATACTATAGTAATTTCAATAATTGAGATCATGAGTCAACCGAAGCTAAACCAACATGGAAAATCTGGAAGTGCTGGACGGATGTTTCGTCCTAGTGTGGGACTCTTCAGAAGTGCGCATCCACGATCCCGCCTCGGGAGATTCGAAGCTAGGACCTATCAGTCTTGCGCTCGTTCGCTGAACTACTAGACCACTGGTCCGGTATCCAACGGTGTTAACTGTAATTCGACAACCTTTGGGATCCTGGTAGCATGATATAGCTGCTTTGACCTGTAATAAACCTCATAGCGTACATTCATGATCCCACGATGTATCGAACCCAGTACGTTTATGTTTTGCGAAAATACTTATCTTCACATCATTGAATTTCTATCCGATGGGTGAACACTAAGTATCTCAAATAAGAATGAAGTAGCTTATTAGTGCTTCCCGATTTTTTCAGTTATCTAACCAAAATTAGTTCGTGAAGTAAAACTTTAAAATTGGAAATTTCTACGACAGTTTGTAATAATAAAATTATGTTTCATACTTTTCGTAAATAATAATATTGAATAGATTCTATTCAAACTAAAAATGCATCGGTTGCTGCTGATCTTTCCAAATTTACTTTAACAATACTTCAGAGTTGTTAGTTCTAAAGGATAGTCAAAGATGAGACCAGAAAATCCTCAATTAATCCAAGTCATATATATATATATATATAATAGTTTGAAGATTTATTTATTTATTTTAACACATAGATATTGGTACAAGGAGGCATTAAATATAAATGCGCCACACAGATCTCATTTGATATGTGTGAGGGCTGTGATACTGCCCGGGTGCCCAAACCGAAGCAGGTGGTTTTCTTAGGGGGGCCACACCCCGAGCCTTCAACCTGAAGATCTGATCCACAAGGCAGTGGAGCATCATGAGGAGATTCAGTTCCATGGTAGCCGGTGACCAACGATTGGTTCATACGCCATTTGTTCCTTCAGGATACTGGAGCCCATGCGCACCATTGATTTGGGATCCGGTTAAAGCGCCGGACATTCGCTTTCGCTTTTCGTCTTCTCATTTTCGTAAACAACAGTCATGCCACGAGAAGGCAGTGAGTAGGACTTCCCTGGCAGAGGCTATATATGCGTGACCATGTGAGAGCATTTGGAGAGGGAGAGCGGACTATTCTTACATTCGGCCGTACCAGGGGTTTTGGGGGCTGTTTGAAGAAAAGGAATAACTTTGTTTAAAGTATAGTTGACATTAGATTAACCAATCAATACTATATGTGATGTGTTGACGTTGTCGTTTTTTTTTTTTTGACTTAACATCATTCCCTAATACCCTGTTCGTCTAACTTCACTATTACTTACTCGGTGTTCCCTGCAGATGCGAACAGTATGTTTTAGACATATGTGGTCAAATACTAGTAGCTTACGAGTATCTTCTACTCTTAATGGCTACGTTTTGTAGAATTTATATATAGACAACTATAGTACATCATTTATTTTGATGTTTATTAATGTGTTTATTACTTTTTTTTCAAAAAAATTTTTTTTTTATTTCAGATGGGTGCTTGTTTTTCACTAGTATTTGAAGGTTGTCCATTAAAGATTAATTCAACTGCAACATGGATTAATCCAGCTAATAATGGTAATAAAAATAATCATTATATATTTGGTTCAACAAAGAGTGTTCTCTATTGATTGAATTCATTTACAATGCTGTACAATCAAAAATATATACGCTTATTGTTTCAGGATGATAGTAATCACAATAATGCGGTATGACACCTCGAATTAATGTACGGACGTACGTACGTATGAAGTTCTACATTGTTACTGACTGATTGGTAATTACATTAATTACAATAATATTGATAGGAAAATTCTATTAAACATGGTGACAATGAGGTAGAATGATATATTTCATCTATTTAACATTACCGAAGCAGCAATAGTCAATACATCTTGGAAAACAAGACTTGTGTGACCAGAAGAAATTGGTGTACAACCTTTTTTTCTACCATGGTCTTAATATCTTGTCATCTTCTTTCTTCCAATTTTTCTTCCTTCAGAGATGTCCACTTCTTATCTTCTCAATAGACTTTTTTTACTTTCAACTGGAATGTTTCTGTTTCTATAATCCTCCTGATTACATTTCATCCTATCCTTTCCCATTTATAATTTCTTTATTTACCTTCATGATAAATATTCAAACCTTTAACAATCAAACTATTATTAGTTTCCCTGATAAAGAAAATAACATTTTTATGCCATTGTTTGTTCTACTTCACCAAATACCATGTTTAACAGAATTTGTTTATTACTATTATTATGATTATTATCATCCTGAAACAATAAGTATACATATTTGCGATTGTACTTAATTATTTACTTACTTACTTACTTACACCTGTTACCCCTTGCGAAAGAGCATAGGACACCTACCAGCACTCTCTCCATTCAACTCTGTCCTGGGCAATCTTTTCCAATTTCTATTGATCCTTTTCATATCTGCTTCCACTTTCGTCTGTAGCTCTTCTAGAGTTACCGCCAGTCAGCAACCCCCCATCCCGTAGAAAAAATCTTGCTATAAAACACCAACTAGATTTGCGAGTTTTATGAATGAATTCACCGAATAGAGAACTCTTTGCTGAACCAGTTTTTTCTTATTTCATGTTTTAATATAACTGATAATATCCCATTTAGTATTAGAGATAGATTTTCAATGTTTTGTAAAACTATATATTATTCACTACTATACAATTTAAGAATCATTCCAAAATAACCAGTTGAGCTAATCATTTCACTTTTCCTGTTAATACATAAGTCATTCATATGGCTTATCATTACCAATGAAAACATGACTAGATTCACTTGGTGTTGTTTGCTTGTATCTTCCCATTGTTGTTTAGGACTGCAATTGATCAGTCTCTTATTGTCATATATCCATCGTGTTCGTATTGCCTCAATATTGCTTTAATTCACAAGCATTATAAGCAAAGATGGATAGTGGCTAGCAGTAGACTCGTCATTTGGGTTTGCCTGCATCCTAGCGTTAATGTTCACTTCGGTACTCGAACATACTACCGATCGCTCCAAACATTATCGCGTTATGCACTTACTTACAAAACGCGCGTCCAGGATTCCACTGCTAGTCACTATTCATCTTTGCTTATAAAGGTTATGAATTGACTAGCTTTAAAAAATTTAAATCCGTTTAAACATTCAAGCCATTTGATGTACTAAGCATAACATTTTATTCCTAACCTTATTGATTATGAATTTAATTATAATCCATCGTTAATTGTAATTATTGTCGTCTTGAAACAATAAGTATGCATATTTACGATTGTACAGTTTTGTAAATGAATTCGACGAGAAAAGAGAACTCTTCACTGAACCAATCTTTCTTATTTTATATCTTAATGGGTATATTCCGTTTCATTAAATTTCTAATAAAAAGATAGATAACAGTTGAAATATGATATCTATATACAAAGAGAGTAAAAGAATGCTTGATTACGTGTATAGTGTTATGAGGATCTATAGTCAGTCTAGTTTATCATTCATTTACATAGTTCGAAATATTGAATTATATAATTTTGTAACCGTTTCATGAATTCTCATTATCTAGTTTCAACTACCGTTTTTGTCTAAGTGTCTTTTTTTACACCAACTGTCGAACTCAAGTGTTGTGTTTGTAGATTATGTGGATTGTCTTTTGTATTATTGATATTCGGCTATAGTTTTGAATACACTTTTTCATGTTTCTGATCATCCCTTATGAAATAGTATGAGACTTCTCAGCAATGTGCATCCACGATCTCGCTTCGCGAGATTCCAACTCAGGACCTATCAGTCTCGCGTACGAACACTTATCCTTTAGACTACTGAGCTGGCATACAACAGGTTTAATGTCTAATCTCAACCAATCCACGAAATCGCGCCAACATCCATTATTGTCATCAATGAGTTACTATCTCACAACTGACCCGGTTGAACTCTATTGGTTACTGCTTCTCACTAGAACTCCAAGAAATAAATTTTAGAGACAGTCACTGGTGAGCATATGATGATTATAATCAGAGAGGCGTTTTATGGAGATTGCAGTAATTTAATAGTCGAATTCATGAGTTAAATCAAGCTAGACTACCATAGAAAAGCCGGAGACTGTTAAGTCCTGGGTTCGAATCTTTCGGGGCGGGATCATGGATACACACTACTGAGGAATCCCATACTAGGATGAAACGGTCGTCCAGTACCGTTTGATAAACTCACAGAAAACATCAATTCCCTGAAATCTGGAGATACATTTTGCTAACGTTACCTAATTATTGTAAAATATCAGTTCATAGCTTTGTATAATTGTCTATATTGTTACATTTTAGAATAACATTGTTAGTATTTCATTAAGCAATTATAATTTATGATTTGTACACTTATGTTTAATGATCAGGAGGTATTACTCAATGTTACGTCCTTGATCTGTCTACTCATTTTTGATGCTGAGGATAACTTGTTTAATCTAGATTAAGACCTTGACATGATAGACTAACCGGCTTATATAAATACATTTTTAATGATTATATCTAATATAAACTTCATTTACTTTATATAGGTCAAGTTATCCTATTGGGTACAAATGATGGTATATATTGTTTACAATTGAAAGGACGTTCTGAGAATTCTTTAGAATTAGTAAGCTGAAATTAATTTAATTTTTATTTTTCATGTTACACTTTAAGAAAGATGATTGTAGTTATAAATTGTTGATTATCATTTTTATATGGATCAATGATGATCTAGTTTCATATAGTAAAAAAGGAAGTATACGTTTTTTATAGAGTACCAGTATAGGGTTGTGGAGATTATTATGTCAGACCACCATTAAGACATGAAAACATTGGATGGCCGTTCCGTCCTATTGTGGGACTCGTCATCAGTGCTCATCCACGATCCTTAACGCGGGATTCAAACTTAGTGTCTTCCGTCTTGCGCGAGAACACTTAACCTCTAAACTGCTGAGTCAGCCGGCATCCAACAATGTTAATGTCTAACCTCAACATTAACTGTTGATCTTAGTTAAAGAAGCATTAAAAATGCATCTGCTGGGATCACCAGGTGAGTAATAGTGAGGTTAAGTGCGCATGGTATTAGGGAATGATGGTAAATAAGTTGATGAGGTTGTGAATCTTCATAGGTTGAAATGATTTAGCTACATGTTATATATGCTTGAACAGAGATTACCACAACGAATAATGCTGATTAGTGTTGGGGATTATTGGAAAAAAGTTTTGGGGGGGGGACAAAACCAAGTCATGTCATCAGTCGTTGAAGTCACTAACTTGTGGTGTGATCCATGTTGGTATATGCAGACTACTTGGGTGATGTCCGTGTGACATCGTAACCAATGATTGGAGACTCTGTGTGACACGGCTGAGAATAGATCAGAATGGCGTAGGTTCATACACTCTTTGTCATCCCTTTAACTGTGAGATTGAAATTACTTTGTGCCAACTTTCACTGATGCCTGGTCTTACGTTGTAGTTGACTGACTGACTAAGAAACCAAGAAACATATGGGTGAACTATTTCTTTTGTGTGTCTGACTCTTCAACGGTGCTCATCTATGACTTCATTGGGTGCTTAACACAGGATTTTCTGTTTTGCGACATGCTGTTAATGATTAGGCCAATAATTGATCGATAAATGCACAACTTCCGTATTTTTGGACGACAGTAATGTATACACTGCTTTTACTGAGTTTATAAGAACATAATATTTGTTAATCCTTCTATCTAGTGACTAGCACTATCTGATCCAGATTACATTTACTTTGGTACATTCACAATGATGAATAGTCTTCTTAATTAATGGTAATTATTCACTTAAACTTATCCTGTATAACTCAATATGTACAATCTGACTAACATCATAATGTAATAACTGCATTACTCAATATAAAATAGCTAAAAATTGATCCGGGAATTTCAGGTTTATTTCTGAGCCTCAATGATGAATATTTACAAGGACAAGAAAACAATATTCTGGATCATTGATGTAAATCACAAATACAAAATAAGACCTCACTACACAATAAGTAGGGATAGAAGACTAATTTATTATACAGTTTTTTTTTGTATACATAATTCAAATGAAACTGTCAAAGAAACTTAGATCAATGATGTTTTAAATGGTCATATATATCTACTTATAAAAGCTTCTTTAACTTATTCCTGGTTGGTTTTCGTTTTTTTTTCTTTTCATCAAGCTATTTCCACGTCGTTGTTTATGGTTATCTGTTACACGAGATACTATGATGTCACTATCTGGTCGTCATCCTCAATTATATGCACATAATTTAGTTTCGTTGATGAAATTAAAATCTCAAGGTCATTCAATGAGTAGTGGTGGTGGTGGTGGTGGCGGTGGCGGTGGTGGTAGTACAGTTGTAGGTAGTAGCGGAGTTAGCGGTAGCAATGTTAGTGGTCTTGGTGGAGCTGCATCAAAATTTGGCAAATTTGTTAAACTTTTTCCCAAGTAAGTTTCTAAAAAAAAGTTTTTCTATAGTGGCTAGTTTCTACTTAGGTTCAAAAATTAATGTATGAACTGTATGATAAGTAGTCATTTATTTATATTGATGTCCGTTTTATTTTTGGACACAGTAGTAATATTGTGTGAGCTACTTATATCCACATAAGAGTAGTATATATCTATAGTCAGAAATAAAATGTATTTCACTGGAAGATCGAGAAGCAAGCAATGAGAATGGAAAGCAATTAGTATGAAAATGCAGAAACAATGAAATCTGAGACGATGGACTGATATTTGCATATGAAACAGTCAAGTTTAAGCCCCCAAATGCCCTGGTACGGCCGAGAGTGAGGAGAGTCCGCTCACCATCTCGAAATGCTCTCACAAAGCCATGCGTAAATAGGCTCTGTCAGGGAAGTCTAACATCAATCGGTTCATGATCTCAGTCAAAAATGGGGATCATTGGACAATCTAACAACTGAAAATCATCATGGTTTTTAGCCTGTAGGTGCATAAAATCATTGCCAGGGAAGTCCTACTCATTTCCTTCTCGT